TTCGCTGTTATGTGTTGAAAACAAATAATTTTAACTCATTAACTACACATATATTCTAAGAAATATGTTGCAGACACCTAACGCACATAATAACAGAATATTACTCTAAGAAGTAATATTTCGACCACAGGAAACAGTGACTTGATAACGTCTGGGTTGTCATGGCAACAAGAAACAAACGGGAAGTAAGCGGCCATTACAAAAATCGTTTCCCAAAACAAGCAGCAAGCAGACCGTTGTTTCTTCAACGCTTTCTAATTCTTTAGTTAATCATTTTTTCTCTCCATTAGCATCCATGGGTACAACCAGTTCAAAAAGTGGTGAACAAAGAATCGAAAAACAAATCATTTTTAAGTCAAAGGACGGAGAAGTGTTCAGGATTCCTGCTATTTACTACAACGAAAATGAAAAAAAACTCTTTGCCTTTGCAGAGAAGCGGATATCCCGAGATGATTCTGACGCAGTGGCGCTGGTTATGAGTGTAGGAAAAGTGAAGAGAGAGTCGGGAGTGAAGGTAATTATGTTGTCCCATATTGTAGGCTACTGGTTCTGTTGTTCCTGGTAGGCTTTGGTTTTACATGCGTTCAATGCCGATCTTCATTTGGACTTAATCATAAAGCCATTTATTTCCTTCACAATGTCCATAGTATTGCAATTTTCATTTAGAACCAAATAAATCAGTGTGAAAACCAAAAACAGTAGAAAACCGTTTGCCCCCACGATTAGCAACTCCTGAACAGAATCAAATTTGATTTTAAGCAGCTCCACCTCCTTTCCGACATACTCACTACACAAAATGAAATAGCGGTCCTTGTAAATACGCTCCCTGGTGGAGATGATCGCATGGAAATTAAAAAAAAGAAGATGAACGACTCCTACAGATGTGCAGCAACTAATTATTTTAACAGAAAACAACCTAAGACATTAAATAAATATGTCACATGCTGTATGTATTGTTTCACTTTAGGTCCTAAATCGAATCCAATTGATCTTTTTCAGTGGTCAACGCCTAAAGAAATAATGAAGAAGTGCACCTGTGGATATCATCCGATGAACCCCTGCGTTGTGTATGAAAAACACACAGAGACACTGTTCCTTTTCTTCAACTATGTCAGTGAGACACAGTGGTTTCAGCTAAAGCATCACCTCAACATGGCACGTCTGTGCTACATCACAAAGAAGAATGACGACAAGTGGAGTGAATTCATTGATCTGACCAACCAGCTGCCTGAGATGAATAACTGGTCTACATTTGCTGTTGGACCGGGCCACGGCATTCAGACTAACAGTGGCAGAATGATTGTTCCAGCTTATGCTTACATTGGTCCGGAAGATGAAAAACCAATTTCACATGCATTCTACTTTTATAGTGATGATTATGGTAGCACTTGGAAATGTGAGGAAATGCTGTCTGAAATATCAGGAGAATGTGAGATGACTGAGGTTTTTGATAGCAGCAATGGAGAGAGCTTGATCTACTGCAATGCTCGCAGTTTGGGAAGCTATCGAGTCCAAGCTAAAATTGATAAGAGTGGTATCAGTACACTCAGAACTACTACACCCCTTGTGGAAGTACATAAAGGTTGCCAGGGGAGTGTGATTTCTTTTCCAGCTCAGACTGGAGATGCAAAACCCAGTGAGGAAAAGTGGCTACTTTTTTCACACCCGACAAATCAGAGGTCAGATTTGGAAAGACTTGATCTGGGAGTGTATCTGAACACTTCCCCAGTGACATCAGTTGGAGAATTAAATCTGGTATGGAGCCAACCGTGGGTCATTAACAAGGGACCCAGTGGTTACTCTGACCTGACTTACATTGAAGATGGCTGGTTTGCATGTCTGATGGAACGTGGAGAGAAATCTGCAAATGAGATAGCATGTCAGGTGTTCACCTATGAAGAGGTCCTGAGGGGCATTCCAAACTTCAGGACTTGAAAAAACTGTATCATTATTATTCAATAGAAGAATATCTTGTGTGGTGTATTTAGTGACACTTGCCAGCAATGCAATATAGACCTTATGTTGAATCTTTGAGCAGCTATTAAACATTCTTTTGATGAATCGCATCCAAAGCATCTTTCTGTATTAAAATTGTTTATTATATTGTTCTGATGTAATATATTAATTTTAATTGTTGTGTTTTCATTAGCTATTAGCAGAAAGCAGAAGCTAAACCATTTGTATCCTCTGCAACAAGCGTTCTAAGTTAGCAGGGCTTCATAGCCTCATTGCCTTTATTTGATTCTCTTCAGTTTGGTTTCCTTTAATGAATGTGAACAATTTTTAGCTGACTGTATTTTTATGTTTGACTTATCTTTGAATGAATGTGTTTCTAAGTGAACCCATGTCATCTTTGGGACACAATAAAGCCTAAATATCTATCTTGAAAACATCAGTGTGTGTGTGTGTGTGTAATAACCTATATTTTGTGTTTTATTTATTTATTTCAAACAGAAAAAAAGTAAAAACAAGAAAAAATAAAAATAAAAGACACTTTTTCAGAGCGTCCCCACCTGGCAGGTTTGAGTCATTATTTACTTTTATTTGTTCTGTTAACTTAGGCTTCACATTTACAAAATAAAATGTGAATTCACAGATGAGCATTAAATCTCTCCCAGTTTGACCAGAGCATTGAGAAATACAAGTCCTGCATGTTTTTATATATTCCACGAGTTTGTCACTTTTATTCCCAATAGAACCATGTTGGGATTCTTGTTCCAGGTTCTAGCAGGTTTCTGTTTCTGAGACCTGCACAGACATAATTAGCAGAGACAAATATTGTTACTTAACCTCTTTCCCCCTAAAGAGGTTAAAGAGAATAAAATATTCCATGTACTCACAAACATAAATCTCACCAATCATTTATGAATACATCATTGTAAGAAAAGGATTGCATTTTGGATAATCTCAGACACAGACTCTGTGGAACTGAAGGATGATTTTGTTAAACGTGACCTGAAAGTGTTTTCATCATTCTCGGTCAGAGTATTGTGAATGAATGTGTTCCAGGTCAGTTTTAATTTTTTTATGCTCAAACTACATGATGCAAACAAGCACTGGTTTTGAGTCAGACAGGTGGAGAATATAAAGAAAACTATTTTCTCTGAGCGTGACCAGATCCAGACATCCTCAAAAGTGTAAAAACAGAATCTCACTTTATTAAGAATAAATCCTTTTGGGAACAAAACAGATTGTAAAATCTAGTGAAATTATTCATCCTTTTAAATGATTTAATGACAATAAAACAAAGGAATTATTAAAATTGGGAATTTTCAAAGTAGGAGGTATGCCCTGCATAGAATTGTTTCTGGAACATATTAATTACAATAAAAATAAAAAAAAATAATTCCATGACCATGATTGCATATTTTGCATTTACCAGCAGTGTTTTAGCTGAGACCCTTTTTAAAGCACTATCTATGACACATTGACTTACAGTTTAGCAGAACAAATAAGACAAAATAAAAAAAATTTAAAAACTTGTTTGAAAACAAATAAAATAAAAAAAATCTGTATCTCTGATTCATTGTTCATACTGGTTTATTTAACCCCTCTGTCACTGATTTACCAAACTTAAAACATTTTTAGTACTTTGACTTTCTTCATAATTACTGTGTCTGAGTTAAACAGAAGAATTAAAATATAGTTTACATGGCAACATGGCACAAAGAAGTACAAAGAGGTGGACAATTGCCCCATCTACTGGTCGTCTTCTATGCACCACAAATCTGGAACAAACTTCTAGAAAACTGCAAAACTGAAAGTTCCTTTAAATCAAAACCCACCTGTTTAGTCGCTTTTGAGTCATTATTTATTTATTTTTGATAAATGGAATCAATATATTGATGATTTTGATGATGACACTCAAAGTGATAACGCTTCTGGATTGTCATGGCAACAAGAAACAAACGGGAAGTAAGCGGCCATTACAAAAATCGTTGCCCAAAACAAGAAGCAAGCAGTCAACACTTATCCAATTCTTTAGTTAATAATTTTTCTCTCTATTAGCATCCATGGGTACAACCAGTTCAAAGAGTGGCACACCGAGATTCGAAAAACAAACACTTTTTAAGTCGAAGAAGGGAAACGTGTTCAAGATTCCTGCCATTTACTACAACGAAAATGAAAAAAAGTTATTTGCCTTTGCAGAAAAGCGGACATCACAAGATGATTTTGACGTTGTGGCGCTGGTCATGAGAACAGGAAAAGTGAACATTAAGTCGGAAGTGAAGGTAATTATAAAAATAATATGATGATGTTTCTTGTAGGCTTTGGTACGTGCGCTCAATCAAGATTCGCTTCATGATTTGGATTTAATCATAAAGCCATTTACAGTATCCATTGTACTGCCAATGTCATGTAGAACCAAATACATGAGAAAACCCAGCACAGTAGAAAACCGTTTGCCACCTCCCTTTAGCAACGCCTGAATCGAATCACATTTGATTTTAAAGGGACCCATGTTCAGTTGAAACAATATACTTTATTTGAGAAATATTTATAATACTGTAGGCTGTTTAGTTTTTATACGTTTTAATTATGTATTGTCACAGGAGCGCCCTGTTGTTCATGCTGCAATGCATTCTGGGTATGCTTATTCCGACTACGCTAGCTACATCCAGCAAAAAGAACGATGAGTAACGTCATTAAATCTTTTCAAATTGAACTGAAGCCCGTTGAAATTCATAGGAATGTAGAAATCACAAGATGAAGCTGAGGACCAAAGAGAGGGAGAGGACAGAGTAGGTCACAGTAGGAGTTGGTGTTTTGCTGTTGCTGCTGCTGCCACCTTCAGCTTCATAAATGAAACAATGAATGTGTTTATGGCCACAGTAAAGCAGCCCGAACCAGCTCTCCATTTAAAGGGTCCAAACCTAATGAGCCCGATGGGCCTGACCCAAGTGGGTCAACAAGGGGTCTGTTTAAGTTGGTATCTATGAGAATTTGAGCTTAGCATGTATCGAACACAGTAAGAAATCCAGCAAAACAGGAAACATTACATAAGTTGCAAAAATCACCAAATTATCTTACCCTAAAATTGTGGCTGAATGAACCTTTTGAATGTAATAAATGCAAGAAGACAGACAGAGAGAGAGAGAGAGAGAGAGAGAGAGAGAGAGACTCATACCACAAGAAAAGCCCTTTTCTGGGTTGATCCATTAGTTTTCTGTTTAAAAAAAAATCCAATTTTCCTCAGTGGCCAGAAGTAGCCCCAAAAATCTAATTGAAAAAAAAAAAATCCTGAACTTGTTCTTGGCAAAAAATGGGAAAGTTCTTGGATGAAACAAAGAGGAAAAACCCAGCATGAAGCAGCAGTCATGACAGTAAATCCAAATTCTGAAACCTCAACCTTTGGCCTGATCAGGGTTCTTCGCTCTGGTTGAGTCTCATTTTTTCTCTCAAAACCTGATGGTCTTCATGATTTCTTCTACCGATGTGAACACGAAGACTGTCTCTGAGGCACAACCCCGAATGTTAGCGAGTGCTTCTCCTTTATATGTTTTTGGGTGATGCCTACGTGACTTTTTGCATGAATCGATAAAATCATCCCTCCTTACTGGAAAAGTTCTACTTTTTTGGCATTGAAACTGTTGTGAGTGTCTCCCCATAACCACCTATACTCTCTGTCCAAAACAACTTCTGCTTTTCTCACACCACATCTGAGTCTGTTCCTTATCTTACCGATGAATACATTTTATACATTTGCAAACAAAACACTATTTAAATGACAAAGACTTACTTTGTACACCACATTATTTCCCATTATTGAGGCAATTGTTCAATATTAATTCATTATTGATATTTGTGTGGAGAGAAATCTGCTACAGACGAGATAGCATGTCAGGTGTTCAGCTTCAGTTATCAAAAATCATCAGACTGCTTACAATTTTGACTTATCAATTATATTATACCCATGCAACTTAATTCAACATTCCATCATTATAACCCCGTCCCGCTTCCAACATTCTCAGTTCACAAAATGGGAGTGGAGATAAACACATGAAAAAAAAAATAATTAATGGTTCCACATATGTGAGGCAACTAATGTATTTCAACTGAAAACAACCTAAGACATTAAATAAATATGTCACATGCTGTATGTATTGTTTCGCTTTAGGTCCTAAATCGAATCTAATTGATCTTTTTCAGTGGTCAAAGCCTAAAGCATTAGTGACGAAGTGCACCTGTGGATATCGTCCGATGCACCCCTGTGTTGTGTATGAAAAACACACAGAGACACTGTTCCTTTTCTTCAACTATGTCAATGAGAAAGAGTCATGGCAGCTACAGCATCACCAGAACAAGGCCCGTCTGCGCTACATCACAAAGAAGAAGAATGACAACAAGTGGAGTAAATTCACTGAGGTGACCGAACTGCAGCCTGTGTTTAAAAACTGGTCTACGTTTGCTATTGGACCGGGCCACGGCATTCAAACTAAAAGTGGCAGAATGATTATTCCAGCTTATGCTTACTCAAAAGACAAACAACCGATTCCACATGCATTCTGCTTTTATAGTGATGATTATGGTAGCACATGGAAATGTGAGAAAATGCTGTCTAAAATGTCAATGGAATGTGAGATGACTGAAATTTTGGAAAGCAGCAGCAAAGACAGCTTGATCTACTGCAGTGCTCGCAGTTTCGGAGGCCATCGAGTCCAAGATAAGATTGATGAGAGTGGTGTCCATACACTCACAACTGTTACACCCCTTGAGGAACCACATACGAGTTGCCAGGGGAGTGTGATTTCTTTTCCAGCTCAGTCTGGAGATGCAAAAACCAGTGAGGAAAAGTGGCTACTTTTTTCACACCCGACAAAGCAGAAGTCAGATTGGGAAAGACTTGATCTGGGAGTGTATGTGAGCACTTCCCCACTAAATTCAAAAGGAAACTGTAGTGGAGAATGGAGCCAACCGTGGGTCATTAACCAGGGACACAGTGGTTACTCTGACCTGACTTACATTGAAGATGGCTGGTTTGCATGTCTGATGGAGTGTGGGGAGAAATCTGCTACAGACGAGATAGCATGTCAGGTGTTCAGCTATGAAGAGGTCCTGAGGGGCATTCCAAACTTCAGGACTTGAAAAAACTGTATCATTATTATTCAATAGAAGAATATCTTGTTATTTAGTGACGCTTGCCAGCAATACAATGTAGACCTTATGTTGAAGCAGCTATTAAATATTCTTTTGAATTAAATATTCTTTCTATATTAAAAGTGTTTATTGTATTGTTCTGATGTAATATTCTAATTTTAATTGTTGTGTTTTCATTAGCTATTAGCGGAAAGCAGAAGCTAAACCATTTGTATCCTCTGCAACAAGCGTTCTAAGTTAGCAGGGCTTCATAGCCACATTGCCTTTATTTGATTCTCTTGAGTTTGGTTTCCTTTAAGGAATGTGAACTATTTTTTACTGAATCTGTGGAATTAAAAATTATTTAGTTCAATGTAATCTGAAAGTGTTTTCATCATTCTCAGTCAGAATACTGTGAATGAGAGTGTTCAAGGTCAGTTTTCATTTCTTTATGCTCAAACTACATGTACTGTATTTTTATTTTTTATTTATCTTTGAATTTATGTGTTTTTAAGTGAACCATGTCATCTTTGGGACACAATAAAATGTAGATATCTATCTTGAAAACATCAGTGTGTGTGTGTGTGTAGCATGTTGTGTGTGTGTATGCTTTGTGTTTTATTTATTTCAAACAGACTAAAAGTAAAAATAAAATTAAAACAATTGATGATAACTTGTTATCATCAATTGGGGATGATAATTGATGATATTATCCCCACATCTGATTCTCTTCAGTTTGGTGTCCTTTAAGGAGTGACAAATAAAAGTTTGTCACTTTTATTCTCTCAGTTCATCACCAGATGGAGACTGCAATCACCTGGAGGGCAGGTCCTGGATTTCACACACATCTGCTAGCCATTTACCCTCATCAACATGAAGTATAAGAGGAGTGGGTCGCCAGCACTTCAGTGCCTGAGTGTTTGCCTGTTCTGGTACTCTGAGCCTCTCTGAGCTTTGTCTCTGTTACAGATCATTTTACATATCATGTAAAATATTACATGATCTGTTTGAAAAGGAGCAGGTAGAAGATACAGGATCTTTTGATTTCCTGCCCCTCACATATTCTTTAACTTAGAAATATTTAAATCTCCAAGCACCAGATAAATTTAAATTATTTCCACATTACGTGACACTTAGATCTCACATTCTCATCCTTAAAAGTACAATTATTTATACATTTTTAATGTCATCAATGACATTTTTGGTCTTTGAAACACTCATTCTATACAACATATTTCCCAATAAACTTCTTTTTAAAACACTTTTTTGAACAATGTATTCTATCAGGTTTGATACTTTGACTATGTCATTTATATAGAAATGGAATAATTTGAGGCCCAACATTGACCCCTGTGGAACTCCACAAGTTATAATAAATCTGATTTCTGATTACCTAATTCTACAAATTGTTTCCTTTGTCCAGTGTAGCTTCTAAGCCAGTTTAATGCTGCCCCCCTAATTCCAAATCTTTCCAGTTTTTTTTAGTAAGATGTCACATTTGATGGTATCAAAGGCTTCTTTGAGATCCAGAAATACACCATTTGCAAATTTCCTTTTATCAATACTGTCTATGATTTCTTCTGTTAACACCATCAGCACCATTGAAGTTGACCTGTTTTCTCTGAAGCCATGTTGACACTCTGTCCGAATGTTACACTTTCCAATAAAATTGCAAACATTTTTTTCTGGTATTTTAGAGAACTGACAAAGTAGGGACACATATCTACAATGATTAAAAATGTGATTATCGCCAGATTTAAATAGAGGCATAACCTTTGCAATTTTCATTGTATTTGGAAATGCTCCAGTTATGTGTTGGGAACTGGGGTTTTGGGGTCTGTGAGGAGGTCCTTCTTTTCTGCTGCCTTCTCTCAGTTCACCACTAGATGGAGACTGCAATCACCTGGAGGGCAGGTCCGACTCCTGGATTTCACACACATCATCAAGCCATTTACCATCATCAGCATGGAGTATAAGAGGAGTAGGTTGCCAGCACTTCAACCAACCTTCAGTGGGTTTGCCTGTTCTGGTACTCTGACCCTCTCTGAGCTTTGTCTCTGTGACTTCCTGGCATTTCTCAAGTTAATTCTTACCTGTAGATATCCTCTTTGTAGATATCCTCTTGTGGTGCCTTGGAATCCTTCCTTTGTATTACTTGAGTTCCTTGTCTTCTGGATTCCTCTTTGTGGCACCATGTATGTGACCCACTGTGTTGCCTGAGAACCTTTATCTCAAATGAAAGTCTCTCTGAAAGATCCTCTGGTTTCTCATGCACCGCTAGCAAAGAACCACTCCTCTTCATCCCGCTACCTGTGTATCTACCTGTCTGCCCTCTATCACAAGTCCAAACCATCAATCTCCCCATTGCATCATCTCCAGCAGACACTGGACTTCAACTCATCCTCTCCACAAATCTTACAAATCCCAGTGACCACATTATTCCCCCCTGGAGGATTCCTCTACCACGTTTGCAAAATAAAATGTGAATTTGCAGATCTCTCCTCCTTTGAGAAATACAAGTCCTGCGTGTTTTTATATATTCCACGAGTTTGTCACTTTTATTCCCCAGTAGAACCATGTTGGGATTCTTGTTCCAGGTTCTAGTAGGTCTCTGTGTCTGAGACCTGCACAGATATAATTAGCAGAGACAAATATTATTTAAAGACAATAAGTTAGTCCATGTACTCGCATACATATAAATCTCATCAATCATTGTTGAATACATTGTAAGAAAAGGATTGCATTTTGGATAATCTCTGACACAGACTTTGTAGAATTGAAGGATGATTTTGTTAAATGTGACCTGAAAGTCACATTTAACAAATCATTCTCAGAGACACACTCATTCTTGTGAATGAGTGTGTTTAAGGTCAGTTTTCATTTCTGTATGCTCAAACTACATGATGAAAAACACTGGTTTTGAGTCAGACAAGTGCAGAATATGAATAAAACTATTTTCTCACAGTGAACTGTCTGAGCGTGACCAGATCCAGACATCTTCAAAAGTGTCAAAAACAGAATCTCGCTTTAAGAAATCCTTTTGGGAACAAAACAGATTGTAAAATATAGTGAAATTATTTTTGAATTAATAGAATTCCTTTGTTTTCAAAATAAGAGTTATGCCCTAGAATCATTTCTGGAATATATTAATCACAATAAAAATTAAAAAAAATTATTCCATGACCATGATTGCATATTTTGCATTTACCAGCAGTGTTTTAACTGAGACCCTTTTTTAAAGCACTATCTATGACACATTGACTTACAGTTTAGCAGAACAAATAAGACAAAATTTTAAAAAACCACATTTGAAAAAAAAAAAATCAGTATCTCTATATCATTGTTCATATTGGCATATTTAATCCTTCAGTCACTGATTTACAAAACCTAAAACATTTTACTACTGTGACTTTTGTCATGATTACTGGGGCTGAGTTAAACTGAAGAATTAAAATACAGTTTACATGGCAACATGGCACAAAGAAGTACTAAAAAGTGGACAATTGCCCCATCTACTGATAGTCTTCTATGCACCACAAATCTGGAACAAACTTCCAGAAAACTGCAAAACTGCTGAAACACTGAGTTCCTTTAAATCAAGACTAAACCCCACCTGTTTAGTTGTTGTGAACCACGATAAATGGAATATTGACCAACATATTGATGATTTTGATGATGACACTCAAAATGGTGCTAAACTAACCACGATAGCAGTAAATGGTTCAATGGACGAATATTTTGAGGCATGAATTACAAGTTCAAAATTACGTGAATGCCCCTATAAACCTTTACTTGGCCAAAAATAAAATTCAGCTTTTGCTTGTAATAAACATGAAGTTTTTGTTGGAATGAAAATAAGAGCATGCTGCAATTTTTTCCCATTGCAGTAAACCAAATTTGGACTTAAACGCTGATATAAAACTTCCCCCAACACAATTATTAAGGCGTGCTTTAAATAGAGGTGGGATAATCTGGAGATACATGACAGGATATGAAGATTAAAGCTAAAACACTGAGTTTCCCATTCCCGCTCTACAGTTACACGGCTGAAAAAAAAAACCGCCCCAGGACCAGTCAACCATGACTTTAAGTTCTTGGCTCAATTTGTGCTCTTTCTTTTCTCTTTCTCAAGCGGAGGTAACTTTACATTTACTGTATATGTGGGGTGTTCGCTAGGTAAAACCGTTTGCAGAGAACAGCCTTCGCGCTCTTCTCTGGATTATTTAACTTTCAAACCCGCTTCCGGTTCGCTGTTATGTGTTGCAAACAAATAATTTTAACTCAAACACACATCAATTATAAGAAATATGTTTTAGACACCTGACGTATCAGATAACAGAATATTGCTCTAAGAAGTAACAATGTTTCGACCACAGGAAACAGCAACTTGCCAACTTCTGGGTTGTCATGGCAACAAGAAACAAACGGAAAGTAAACGCCCGTTTCAAAAATCTTTACCCAAGAACGAGCAGCAACAATACCGTTGTTTCTTCAACGCTTTCTGATTCTTTAATCATTTTTTCTTTCAGTTAGCATCCATGGGTAAAACCAGTTCAAAGAGTGGCGAAACAAGAGTTGAAAAACAAATAATCTTTAAGTCAAAGGACGGAGAAGTGTTCAGGATTCCTGCTATTTACTACAGCGAAAATGAAAAAAAGTTGTTTGCCTTCGCAGAAAAACGGATATCCCAAGATGATTCTGACGCAGTGGCGCTGGTCATGAGTGTAGGAAAAGTGAACATTAAGTCGGGAGTGAAGGTAATTATGTCGTAGTGGCTAAAATTCAATTTATTGACTTTACAATGTCCATTATATTGCCATTTTATGTTGAACCAAATACATGAGACGTAACTCAAAACCCAGCACAGTAGAAAAGTTTGCCACATCCCATTAGCAAGGCCCGAATCGAATGACATTTGATTTTAAAGGGACCCATGTTTTGACTTTATATGAGAAATATTTATTTTAGATGTGGAAATAATACACTAATAATACTGTAGACTGTTTAATTTTTTATAAATGCGGTACTATAGTGGTCATGCTGCAATGCATTCTGGGTATGCTTATTCCGACT